TCCCAGCTACCTGGGAGGCTGAGGCAGAATTGCTTGAACCTGGGAGATGGAGGCTGCAGTGACCCAAGATCATACCACTGTACTCCAGCCTGGGAGATAGAGGGGGACGCCATCTCAAAAAACAAACAAGCACAAACAGTGGTTGTCTAAGCAGGGGAACTGGCGTGCTGACGGACAGATGAGGGATTCTCTATGTATCCTTCAGAGCCTTTCAAATGTGCTCTATGTGTGCTTTCCTAGTTAATAACATAAAAGATACATAACAGAATAGGCACACACACACACACAAAATAACGTAAAAGATTTATATGTCTTGTTTTTAAATGAGCTTATGAGTGGAAACTGAGACTAATTTTAAGTTAGCTCAGACATTGGTTCAGACAGAATATAGTAAACAGTAACAAAGTCAAATTATGATATAGAATAACTCTCCTAAAACTTTCTTCCAAAGAGATTAAGGCTCATCTATTCAGTTAGTGAATTATTATTTCAGTATCTACTATGCACCAAGGATTGGTCCAGGCATGAATGAGCAATGCCCAGAACACCCGAGTCCCTAATTTCATGAAGGTTTAATGGGGAATACAGAGACATAAACAGTAAATAACATAACTTTGAAAAGTAATAAGCACTATACAGAAGAAAGGGAGATAGGAGGATCAAATTGCAGGGGAGGAAAAAGGGAAACTGGTTTATACGGTACAGGTTAGGTAGAGGATACAACATATGAGCTAAGAAGGAACAACTGGACAAAGCAAGCAATGCAATAAACAGGAGGAAAGCCTAGTGACTGGAATCAGCTCAACCACTTATTGTTCAGGGTACGGCAAAGCAGCAACAGTGTGGCTACAGTGGAGTGACTCAAGGAGAGAAGTGCATATGAGCTCAGAGGTAGGCAGATCCCAGATGAACGTACGGCCTTATAGCTAGTGGGGGAAAAAGGCAAGATTCTAATGTAAGTGTGATGGAGAACCTCTACAGAGTTTTTAGCAGGGGAGTAACATGTTCTATATTTTAAGAAGATAACACTAGCTGCTGCTCCAAAGTAGGCTAATACACAGGCCAGGCAGTAAGTGATGGAAGTGAACAGAGGTTTGAAAGGAACAGAAGTTTGAAAGAAACAGAAAGTGTCTGATTGAGTATATACATATTCAAAGCAGAACCTACAGAATTTGCTACTGCATTAGATATAGGCATCTAAATGAGATAGCAACTAGGTGAACAGTAGTCCAGAAAATTATCTTATATTTATACAGTTAGTCATTTTACAGTAACGAGACAGGGAAAGGTTACACTAATCAAGATCCAAATTCTGCCTCTTGGCAGTTTTACCTTAGGAAAGTTATCTAAGTCAGTTTCCAGACTGCAAAACATATTGTCTGGTTCACAAAGATGTCTCTAAGAATCAAATGGTTAAGAAATCTACAGCTAGTTCTTTAAGGCCTGTGCGTTGGCTCACACCTGTAATCCCAGCACTTTGGGAGGCCAAGGTGGGGAGAATCACAAGGTTAGGAGTTCGAGAGCAGCCTGGCTAATATGGTGAAACCCAATCTCTACTAAAAATACAAAATTAGCCAAGTGTGGTGGCATATGCCTGTAATCCCAGCTATTCAAGGCTGAGGCAGGAGAATTGCCTGAACCTGGGAGGCAGAGGTTGTAGTGGGCCAAGATTGTGCCACTGCACTCCAGTCTGAACGACAGAGGGAGACTCCGTCAAAAGAAGAAAGAGAGGAGAGAAAGAGAGAAAGACAAAGGGAAAGAAAGAGGAAGGAAGGAAGGAAGAACGGAGAGAAGAAAAGGAAAAAGAAAAAGAATGAAATCTACAAATGTAAATAATGAACATTATACACTAGAAAGCATAATATTAACGTCATGCAAATCAAGCCATTTCATTTTATTATTTTCATTAGATTGGAATGGTAACACTGATGCTATAATCACTAAATTTCATCCTTTGAAAGTCAAAGGTCAGGCAGGGCACAGTGGTCCGTGCCTGTAATCCCAGCAGTTTGGGAGACTGAGGTAGGTAGATTGTTTGAGGTCAAGAGTTTGAGACCAACCTGGGCAACAGGGCAAAATCTTGTCTCTACAAAAATTAGCTGGGTGTGCTGACATGCACCTTGCAGTTCCAGCTACTCAGGAGGCTGAGGTGGGAGGATCATCTGAGACCAGGAGATGGAGACTGTGGTGAGCCATGATCCTGTCACTGCACTCCAGCCTGGGAGGCAGTGAGACTGTCTCAAAAAAAGAAAAGAAAAAAAAAAAGCCAAAGATCACCCAGAAATAAAAAAAATTAACAGTCCAGGCAACAAAGGTATGTCCCTTTTGCCTCAGGACAATACCACTACCCCCAACTACCACCAACTACCACAGAGAACTTTGTATAGTAGTTGACAGAAAAGAGGCAAATTTTTAAAATAAATTCTGATCTTATTTTTAAAAAAAAAAAAAAAAGCATTTTCACTGATTATGGAACAACCTACATACAAAAACATGGGCACTTAAAAAAAATCTAATATTTTGGCCGGGCGCGGTGGCTCAAGCCTGTAATCCCAGCACTTTGGGAGGCCGAGGCGGGTGGATCACAAGGTCAAGAGATCGAGACCATC